CAAGTTGCAAAAAAAGAAAAAAAAAAAAAGCAAGCCTTAATCTGCAGGGTGGAGTCGGAGCGGGTAGGAGGGAGAGGAGGGCAACAAGGCATGTCAGCCTTCGGGCGCTGGTGAGAGTCGATGCAGACAGAGCAGTGAATGGTGGGGGGGAGGTGGGCACACTCTTCCCCTGGGGCAGGGGCAGTGTGAGGCCCAACGCTGAGACTCAGAGGCCTGGCCAACGCCCTTCCCGCCACAACAGACTAGACGCACGGAAGGACAAGTAGGAACGGAACGTGGACTCCAGACTAGAGCTAAGAGGGTGCAGACAGAGCCTCTCTGAAGTACCACACACCTTCCTCACGAAAATGCTAAAACGAAAGGTGGAGTAGACGGTAAGAAAGACGTCAGGAGACCCGCTCCACACTAAGCCCAGGCACTGCTCGAGAACTTGAAGCCTGCGATTCGTGAAAAAGTAACCGTAGTGACAAAAAAAATCTCAATCACAGCTGGGCTCCAGACTAGGAAACTGAACTCAACCCCCCTTCCTAAAGGTGTAAAAACTCCTGAGAGATGAAAATGATGCCCCTCAGTCTGAGATGTCCAGTTTCCCACAAATAAGAGATGGAGAAAGGTAAGGAAACCACACGCGTAAGACAGCAGAACCAGACTCAGATGACACGGATGCTGGAGCTCTCCGACAGGGGATTTAGAAGGACAGGGATCACTATGTCAAAAGGCTCAAATGGAAAACAATACGTAAGAACAGACTGGCTAACTTCAGCAGAGAGGTGGAACCCACACAAAGAACCCAGTAAGAATAGCAGAAATGAACACAGTAAACAGAATGCCTTCAACAAGTTCAACTGTAAGTGACTAAAATCAAGAATCAGCGAACCTGAAGATAGGTTAATAGAAATCACACTGAACCCTTGCTGCCCCGAAAAAGGGTGCAAAGGCAAGGGAACACATAACAGCTATGCAGAAGATCAGTCTAGCACAGGAACAGCTGGAACCACGGAGAAACAGGAGACAATGGAGCAGGAGAAATAAGAACACCGAAGAGGGAAGAAACCATCACAAGGCACCCAGGAACGACAGGTTCAAACTGCTGGGGGAGGGGCGCCTGGGTGGCTCAGTCAGTTGGGGGTCCAACTTCGGCTCAGGTCATGATCTCACCGTCTGTCAGTTTGAGCCCGGCATTGGGCTGTGTGCTGACAGCTCAGAGCCTGGAGCCTGCTTCTGTTTCTGTGTCTCCCTCTCTCTCTGCCCCTCCCCTTCTCATGCTCTATCAAAAATAAACATACATTACAAAAATTAAAAAAAAAAAATCAATACAACCAATGAATTCCTAACCAAACTGGGAGGGGGGAGATCAAAGTTGCCAATATCAGGAATGAAAAAAAGCTAGCACTACAAACACCTTTAGACATTAGCAGGATAATAAGTGAATACTGTGAACCTATACATCTGACAATAGACAAAAAGACTTTCATTCACTCAGAAAATTTTACCTATGAAAAGAAGCTAAACTCTTTGTGAAAAATTTTCAATAAAGCCAACTCTAGGTTAAGATACTTTCACTGGTAAATTCTAACAAAGCTTTAGGGAAGAAATAGTTCTACACTTCTAAAAATCAGATGAGGAAACACGGGCACACTGATTTCATGAGGCCAGCAGACTCTACTCCCAAAAGCAGACAAAACCACTAACAGGAGAGAATCATCCCACAAACACACACAAAAACCAAGTATTAGTACACGAAACCCCAGGGATATTAAGAAGAATGATGAATCCCAACCAAGTGTGGTGTATATCAGGGATGCAAAGCTGCTTTAACCTTAAAAAAAAAAACAAAAAACAAAAACTCTCAATGAGCCCCACATTAACACACTGAAGAAGGAAAACAATGTGGTCATTTCAAAGCTTAGACCAGAAGCATCTAACAAAAATTCAACATCCACTAATGATAAAAGTTAGGAACAGAGAGGAACATTCTCAACTTAAAAAAATTTTTTTTAAGTTTATTTGAGACAGAGACAGTGTGAGTGGGGAAGGGGCAAAGGGCGGGGTGGGGGGCAGTGAGAGAGAATCCCAAGCAGGCTCCGTGCCACCAGCTAGAGCAGAGCCCGACACGGGGCTCAAACTCACAAAACTGTGAGATCACATGACCGGAGCTGAAACCAAGGGTCAGACACTTAATTCATTGAACCATCCAGGCACCCCAGAACATTCTCAACCTGACTAAGGGCATTTATAAAAAACCCACAGGTGATGCTACACTTAATGGTAAAAGACAGCACGCTTTCTCCCTGAAATCCTGGGGCTGACCACAAAGAGGCAGCAAAAGAGAATTCTTGAAGTGACAGAGCGGTTCCGGATGGTGATTTTGGCAGGAGACACAGTTCTCTAAGTGTTTGTTAAAGCCTGAAGAACTGTATGCCACAAAAAGTAAATTTTACTATGTATAAATTAAAACAAATATAGATCGGGCTCTGTGCTGACAGCTCAGAGCCTGGAGCCTGCTTCAGATTCTCTGTCTCCCTTTCTCTCTGCCCCTCCCCTGTTCACCTGCTGCCTCTCTCTCAAAGATAAATAAACATTAAAAAAATAATAATAATAAAAAATAAATATAGAGACAAAAATTACCTGTATCTGAAGATTATAAATTGGTAAAATATGCATGGGATAACTGACAATGTATGTGTTAAGATGAATGATTTTTTTCCCCTTATTTTCCAAATTTTGTAATATGGCCAGATTGTACGTATATTTTAAAAGGAAAGACATTATTGGGGCTCCTGAGTGGCTCAGTCGGTTAAGTGTCCGACATCGGCTCAGGTCATGATCTCACAGTCCAGTCTGTGGATTTCAGCCCCGCGTCGGGGCTCCGTGCTGACAGCTCAGAGCCTGGAGTCTGCTTCGGGTTCTGTGTCTCCCTCTCTGCTCCTCCCCTGCTCGTACTCTGTCTCTCTCACTCAAAGATAAATGAACATTAAAAAAAAATTAATAAAAAAAGACATTATTTATGTTACCTTCCTGATCCAATACTCACTGCTAGAATTCCAAGTTAAATTAATAATGCCAATATAAGAAGTCTGGTAAAACAACAGAATCGTATAAGCTGATACAGGTGTAGAAGAACATTTTCTGCCGAGACGTTCACTCTTTCCACCAAGTTCTTGGGCATTACAAGGATCCTGACATTCTGTCATCTGCTTCCTTTCTACTGGTGCATTTGGTGCCGGGTATCAAAACTGTAGTCCTGACTTCCCATTTAAAGACAATGCTCAGAAGGGTTACTAGAAACAGTCGAGGTCTTCATTCCAGGGTCATTCATGTCTCTCAGGGCAAATATTAAAACCAATAGGGTATTTACTCTTGGAAGCAAGGTCTGTTTCTACAGTTTCGCTGTATCATAGGCCACACTGCGAGGAGTCTCATCTGGTTTAACAGGTCACAGCACCACTTAAATCCCTGGTCGCCCACATACAAAACAAGAACAAATACAACCTATCCTTTCCCGGGGTCGGTAGAAATTACCTTTCTACAAAGTAAGGTGCTAGAGAAGAAATTTCCAGAGAACAATTCCATTTACCTCATTTTCTTCTTAGTTGAAGACAGCAGTTTGATGGACTGAAGGAGAAGGAATGACAACCGAGATTCAAATATACTGAGGAGCTTGATCACTTCTTCTCGACTGAGACCAGGCGAAGGATCAGCGGCTGGAGCGCTCTCGTCACTCTTCGGCTACCAACGACAAAAGGTCACTTCACCTCAGCTAGCGGACGATTACGGCTCCGCACCCAGGGATGGGGCTGCGGTGCTGTCCACCCAGTAAACGTTTTAGCCAAAAAACAAAACAAACCAAAAGCAGACCCGAGGTCATTTTCCCCCAGGCACAGCCCGTCGGTGGCAGGGGCCCTGACGAGCCCGTCATCCTGGAGATCATCCGACAGACTAAAAGCCGAGAAAAATGTCTCACACCTAACAGGCACTTACGTAGGAATTAATCCTGAATGGAAACCTACTTCCCCCGAGTGCACACTGACGGAGCAGGAGGAAAACAGATGTTCGACGGGGTGTGACAGAACGGGGCTGGACAGGCTGGCGTGCGATGGGGACTCGGGGAAGCTTTTCGCCCCAGCAGAAGGTGGCGTGAATGCTGGAAAGCCAGGCAAACCAGAGGTGCTTTCCAAGGAGCTTGCTGAAGCCCATTCATCGTTCAACTGCTCCCTGGCAGTTTACCGGAAGTTATAAAAGAGCTACGTGCCTTTCTTAAAAAACAAACACAACAGGAGCGCCTGGGCGGCTCAGTCGGTTCAGTGTCGGACTCTTTTTTTTTAAATTTTTTTTCAACGTTTATTTATTTTTGAGACAGAGAGAGACAGAGCATGAACGGGGGAGGGGCAGAGAGAGAGGGAGACACAGAATCGGAAACAGGCTCCAGGCTCTGAGCTGTCAGCACAGAGCCTGATGCGGGGCTCGAACTCACAGACCGCGAGATCATGACCTGAGCCAAAGTCGGCCGCTTAACCGACTGAGCCACCCAGGCGCCCCCAGTGTTGGACTCTTGACTTGGACTCACACGATCTCATGGTTTGTGAGTTCGAGCCCCGCATCGGGATGCTCTGAATTCACTCTCTCCCTGCCCCTCTGGCACTTGCTCTCTCTCTCTCAAAAAAAACTTAAAAAAAAACCAACAATCAGTAACTTCCTTTAAAACAAACAAAACAAAACCAGAACAATGATAAAAAAGACAACACACACACACACACACACACACACAAAAACCATAAAAGAAAACAGAGACGTTACACTATCAGAGCCTTACTAAGGTCTACGTGGTTAAAGAAAAAAGTATTTAACACAAAGCTATAGTTCCAACTTAAAGAATTTAATAATTCCACCAAGAAAATATAATACATCACTGTTAATGTGTTTTTATGCAAAGCACATGTATGTATGCATACGTTTATATATGCATATACATACACAATATACATACCTCACCCCCATCATACGCCCACCATATACATTCACCATTTAGCTTAAGGCACACAAAAACCAAAGATAAATACTTCTCCATTTACCTGGTCAAATTCCTCTACAAGCTCCTTTCTGATGAGCTGGAATGCGTGTTTAGTTCTCACCATTATATCAAGAGCCCCAGATAGTGTTTTCAATTTTCCAACGTTGCTATTCTGACCTACAGTATGAAGCACAAAATGATCATCCCTTTCAATATAAATCTAGAAACCATTCCAATGTCAATGTATTACTGAACGTTGATTTTCGAATCCCGTAAAGGTAGCTCATGAGAATCTCAACAGGTATTCTAAATCCAGCTTTTAGTAATTATCCCTAGACAAAGCAAAAATCACAACGGTCTCCCTGCTGCACCATTTGGTTCTGTGAGGGTGACAGCCCAACCTCCCTGAAAGACCTGAGTGTTAAGGCAAAGAAACCAGCTGGAAGCAAATGTTTCTATTCTATTCTATTCTCTCTCTCTCTCTCTCTCTCTCCCTCCCTCCCTCTCGCGGGCGCGCGCGCTCTCTCTGTCTCTCTCTCTTTTTGGTACTCAATTTTTAAAGGGAAATTAACCATACTTATCTTATCTCAGCAAATTTGTTCCCACTGTCTACTGTTTTTATGAAAATGACGCCTGCTCTCTCGAAGGAATTCAAACATGGCAGAAAATTCGAAGATGTAAATCAAGAAAGGTCACCCAAAACCCACTCCCAGAGAGTGTGGCGGTTAATCCTGCCGTAGGATGGCAAAAGGTTAACAGACGTACTCTCAGTAAACAGGATTTTTAAAACCGGCTTTGAACCGGCCATGCTTCCACAGATGCGCCAAGTCTAAATCAGAGCCAGGTGAGAGACTTCCTCCCGGCCACCCGCGCCCCGCCCGCAGTGCCGCGACTTCCCTGTGCATCCTTCGGGGGACACTCCACTGGAAGAGTCCTCCACGTGGGTAAGTAGCACGTTTGTTTTAATTTTATACAAGAAAACAACTGAAAGAAAACCAAATGAGCAGCCGTACTTCAAATGAACGTGTGTCTCTACCGCACAAGAGCTAGGTCTCCAGGGACCCCTCTGCACAAGGGAGCAGGTGGGCGCGAGCGAGAGAACGCGGCAGACGCCCTCTGTGTGCAGCGGCAGCTTGCTCCCTGCTGTGGCTGAGCCCGGACAGAGCGGGCGCGCTCGCTCTCGTCCAGCCCTTCCCTTCCCACAGATCTGTGCCCTGCGCGGGCCTACAGTTCTGCTGCCACAATCCACCGCTGCCCGTACCCACCGTGTGTCAAGGGGTTCACTGCTCCGTCACCACCGCTTCTCCCTTCCTAAGTCGTTCATGAGGATTTAATCTCTGATGGTCTCAACTGACTTGCCCCATTTTTTCAAATAAGGGAGCGGGGGCTACGTTTCACTATTTCTATGAAATAAATAGGTCACTGAACGTAATCAAATCCGTTTTCTAAACTTCAAAAAGCGTAGAGACTTCTGGCCCCTACCCAAAGTCACCAACTACGGCAAATTAAAAAGAAAACGTTATTTATAATCAAGAGAGATCTCCGGGTCTGCCTCACTCTAAGAGGATCCCACACTAAGTCGATGCCCACAAACACGGGAAATGAAAACGTAAGACTTACTGGTCATCTGAAACTCTGCAAACGCCACTCTTTCTAACTGCACTCTAAGTAGTTCACAAGGAGCATCTTTCAGAAGCTGAAAAAGCTTAACAGCTTTGCTATAATGAAGATCTGCGAGCACCCGGTGCTGCTTCCTAAGATGTTCATCACCAACCTAGAATCAAAAACAATCCTAAGCCTTGAGTTATTTCACAGTATTTCAGTTATCTCACAATAACTACTTAACTAAGTCTCTGGATCACTAAACGTTAGTGTTGTTTCTCTAGAAGTCTTCAACGGTGTTAGCTCTTACGTTTAGGTGTTTAATTCGCTTTTGGTTAATTTTTGTATACGATGTGAGGTAGGAGTCCAAGTTCATTCTTCTGGCATGTGGACATCCAGCTGTGCCAGCACCATGTGCTGAAAAGAAAATTCTTTCCCCATCGCGTGGTCTTGGAACGCTAAGGCTTGCTTCTGCCTTGGGGATATTAGGCCACCTGGACACGCCTGAATTTTGATTAGGACCTCCCGGGGCAAGGGCTAGAGAGTCCAGGGACAGTGGAACATGAAGAGAAATCCTCTGTGGTTAAGCTGGACCTCAAAAGGACAATATTCTCAGGCTGAGGGTACCCAGAACGCAGCCTATGCCCAAGGGACTGCAAGATAAATTATCTTGGTCCTGAGCAAAAAAAAAACAAAACAAACAAATTTTAAAAAAAGGGGGGGGGAGGGGAAACAACCAAACAAAAAACATCCCTGAGAAACTTCCAACACAAGATTCCTGGTAGAAGCCACACAACCTCTCTGGAGGAATGCACCATCAACCTGGGCTGCAACGGATTCTTAAGACACACATGCATCTGAGTACCGGGATTCATGTACCAGGCTGTTCACAGCTATCAATAATTAATGAAAAATAATAAATAATTAACAATCACAGATTATTCCTAATAGCCTCAAACTGAAACGACCCAAAAGTTCAGGAATCACAGAGAGGATAAACAAACTGCGGTACAGTCATTAAATGAGCGCTACTGAACTAGAAAATGCACTGACCAGAAGGAATCTCACTAACACAATGTCCAGGGAAAGGCAATAAACCACAGAAGACTGTGTACAGTATGATTTGATCTATAAAGTTCACAACCAGGTAAAATGTAAACACACTGTTTTAAGTGGTCCAACAGGGTACATAACGGAAAAGTCCAGGACGGCAGTTACTCTGGGTGGGTGTGGAGGGAGACTCAGCAGGGAGGGGGAGCACACAGAGGAGACCTAACTGGGTCAACTAATACCCACTCAACTTATAAGAGGAAAAAATGCAGCGCAGGCAAGAGGGAAAAATTACCTACACTCCAAATTATTTTAAAGCAGCCAACAGAACACACGGCATCACAAACACACACTGAAATGTAAGACCAACACCCAGAACGCTTCTAAATGGACTTGGCATCGAACTGAGGTTGGAAAGGCAGTACCTGATTTCTCAGACAACTGTGGTACATGGACGCCAGCCTGTGATGGATGGTCGCAGCTCGATACTGACAAAGAGGCTGTCGAGCGGACACGGAGTCCACGTCACAGTGTTTCAGGGACTTCATCATAGCCTCACTGACTTCTTTTTCGATCTGGGTTTTTTTTTAAGGGGGAGGAGAAAACAATGACAAGCCTATAATCTTAAAAGTATTTAAATACTGCTTGTTAAGGAAAATATGTTCAGTATCTGTTAAAGACTGAAAGTTGCAGACTTCTTTCATAGCCCAGTAAGTATTATTACCTGCTCTTGAGCTTTTCTAGATAATGGCGCGTAGTCTTGCTGGAGAGTTGCCATAGTAAAGTAAGTAGTGGACAGTTCCCAATTCACTGAATCCCAAACAGCTGGGTGTAGGTCTCGCGTTCCCAGGGACCTTAGCGCTTTCAAATAGTAATCAACAGCCTGTGCAGGGAGGGAAAGACACAGTTCTCACTCAGTTTAAATCTATGCCAGCAGCAGATTAAAAATAAAACATCCTTGGGGCGCCTGGGTGGCTCCGTCGGTTGGGCGGCCGACTTCGG